AAAAAATATGTAGTAGGAATTTACACCTTTTGCAGTTCCATGAATCATCCAGCCTGTGTAGCAGCCCTCAGTGGACTCACAGACTAACTTTGTTTATTTTTACAACTTTTCATTGATGAACAAGTGCTTTGAAAAACTTTTGGGTCTCTCCCATATTCCACTCGGCACTTCCCCCTTGTCATCATGAAAGATATCCGTGYCTTAGAGTGTTGTGTTTGAAGGAAGACAGCAGCTGAGCTTACAGGGATTACGTTTTCACATCTAAGAATGATATTATAATAAAAAAGGTCTTCATAGRTCCTCATGCTTGCAATCTCAACTGTTTCAACTGTTGTCCCAATATTGCTTCCATGGAAAGGTAATGTGGCTACCATTTAAAATTATKCCATGGACCATAAAAAACTAGACTTGTTTTTATGATTCACARGGGTTGACTGRGAAAGTTGTTTATTGACTGCAACTTTAAGGGATTCTTTAATACTTTTAACTTTTCRTCACCAGGCTGTGTTTGCAATCGTGCATTTTGTCATCTTTACTGGGGATGCAATGGAAACTGTAATGGSTGCCTTAAAGAATTGAAAGGTAGTGACATTTTAAGTCRTATTGATTTATTAGCAGTAGAAAATGATAATGTTGAATGTGCAGTGTTCGAGACAGGTCACTGATCTTTTATTCACCTTTTATTCTAAACAGATTTTACCTTCCAAGACAGCATTGACAAACTAATTGATGATAACAGTTATGAATCAATAATATTGAAGGTTAGTTMAAATGTGCTAACGAACTGTAATTGCCATAAGACTTAAAGTCAGTAAAAGAAACAAAAAACATGAAGCCTAGTCTAAAAGGGCACATTGTTTTGTTAGAATTATCTCAGTGAAAAGAACATTCCTCTGGATGATGTATTWAAGAAATGTATTGAGAAACTGGAGTCAAAAGAATATGCAGCCAAAGGTTAGAACAGATATCTGAGAAAAACTAGAAATATGTATTCAATTAGACCTTATTGTGTGTGAAATTATCTGTGAATTATCCAATATTGTTGTTTCTAATAATCACCAGATATGCAGTGTACAACTTCGTCAGCAGTACTGTGCAAAAAATGTGCTTTGGGAAATTTCCAAGAGCTGGCGTATCAGTACAGAAGAGATATTCCCCGTGATGATTTACCAGGTAGAAATCCCTCTTCACTTTTTGTTAAATTGAGATCAATGAGAACAAAAGAGTAACAAAATATGTTTTTAATCAGAATATGTGACTGCCAGAGATGACTGTTACTGGGGTAGAAACTGTAGAACACAAAGAAAGCCTCATCACGCTACGTAAGATTGACATTTTGTTTATTTTCCCATTAAGAGTTTCAAAAAAGCATTTGACATCAATAATTCGCATATTTGTAACTGAGATGTTTTGTTGGTCATTTCAGCCGATTCAATCATATTTGTGAGCAGAAACGATTCACATGATGTCCTTTCCTTCATTCTGCAAAAAGATGTAAAACCCCTTAGATCAACACAGGATGGTTCAATGTTTTTGTTGTATTTTCTTGGTCGTTTAATCATATTTGTGAGCAGAAACGATTCACGATTCATTCTGTAAAAAGATGTAAACACAGAGATCAACATTTGATGGTTGTTTTTGTTGCACGTTCTTGGTGGACACAATAGCATTAAAAAGCTTGTATATGCAGAGCAGCACTTCTGCTTAACTCTTGCACCTTTTTAGTTAACATTGTAAAAAGCTATCAAATTTTGATATAAATTCACTGCTGCAGGGCAAAATCAAGGGACTCAGATGACTTTTATACCTATAAATGCCTTGTGRCAGTTCTGGAAGGTCTGCTCTCTGGTGTCCTCTGATTTAATAAATACTGAATCCAYTCCTACCGTTGACAGTGAATTTTCATCAAGTGCTCTTTTTGTCAAATGTTTTAATAAAGAAACATCGTTAAATTTAACCTTTTAATCAGAATTTATTATTTAATWTGTGGTGGTACCATGTAATTTCTAACACTTATAATTAAAACATTTGAAATCATTGGAAACAATGTATTTATTTAGAAAATTACATCATTTAACAACTTATTCCTACAATTTATGTAAAAACTACACTCCAAAGAGTTGGATCAGCTGGAGCCAATCCAGGTGATCAGATATTTTATCAAATTYTATTTCAAAATATTTCATTGTACACAATCTCTTTCGCATGTAATCAATCTTTTTACCACAATATTTATCCCTTATTTATTAATTATTCATAATATTGGACATGTAAAAATTAAATTTCCAATTTTTATCTTTGATAACTTCATCTACCTAATAAGCCTCATAAGTTTCACATTTTGATGCATTGTCAGTGATATGAGAAAAAAAAGAGCGATCAAGCGAAATGATGATTCTTTTATTCACTCTCGTGAATGTTTGTTTTATCTTGACACACACATCCATTTTGACCWATGTTGTTTAAAATCTGGTAAGGCTTGAGAGCTACATATCTCTTTATGAAATGTATGTTGTCAGACAAAATATRTTATGCCTGATTTTTTATTTGATAATGAAAAAATAAATTCAATTGAATCTTCTCTGAAATTTCATGAATGAGATAACAATTTGTATAATTAATTATTGCTGTAGAAAGAAAAGTTTGTACACATGGAAGTAATGGATGAAAATTCTATAAAATATGAATACTGTAAATCTATTTTCAATAACACATTTAACCTTAAATGAATCAAAGCAAACGCTGACTAGAAATGAGCATCATGACTTTGGAAGGGTATCATTGTTATTTGTATCCATAACACTATTGGCTATCATACATCCTGCATTCTTATTGGCTACTGAACTATGGTATATTCATTCTAGACCATGGTTGCACAGGGGCGGATCCAGCTGGTGGGTGCAGGCGGTGCGCCCCCCCTGAGATCTGTATCATTCAATACTTTCCTTATTTTGTATTTTCATGGTAATGATTTTTGTCGAGGGGGACACCCCCTCCTGAGAGCCCTGCACCCCTCCCTCAGGAAAATCCCGGATCTGCCCCTGTCGAATTGACTGTGGCAAACAAATTTCGAGGCATTTGTTGCTTTTTATGTTCATTTGTAAAATATATATCCTATAGTTTGATTGATACTAAAACAATTAGACCACTTGGGTGTTGTGCACTATGTATTTGACCTTGTGGTCTATTTGCTAAATGAAGTATAAAGAARGCATGGGTTTTCTGTATTGACATTGATTTGTGCATTAGTATGGATTTTTGATGTGCTAACTATGCAAGACGCAATTTTTGGATTCTAAGCCTAAACCTCAACCTCCTATGTCCCCCTATGCCCCCCTCAGTATAATTCACAATTAATCTATCACGACTGTTCCATTAGAAATTCTTATGCAGATCACACACTAATTATAAAAGCGAGTTTTCTCTTCTTTTTTTTCATTAAGTATGCTATCCCAGTGAAAMATATAATGTGCAGGTGTTTTTTCACAGAGTTATGAAAGCCATAGACCACTGACAATTGACCACTGGTCATTTTTTTAAGCTGAAGTACAAAATAAGTCCAACAGCTCCAGCTGCTAACACTACAATCACCAAAAGACAGCATATCTTTTTCCTTGAAGCTTTCTGAAAATTAATCATTGCAATTATTTGTAATATTCCTTTAACAAACAATGCCAATATAAGACAAATTGCTTTGAATTTAGATAATTTAAATCTTATAACAAATATAATCCATTCTGTAATAAAAAGTGATGTAAAAATAATTAGGGAAAACCAATACTAGGTTTACCTAATGCCAAGTTTGAACTCAAAAAAGGAACTATAATTTACAAATTCAAGAGGTGAGTCTCTCAGATGTGGATGGTGGCATCTCAAACCAAGTATTTTGAGTTGGTAGAGTCTTTTGCTTTTCCTTTGGTTCACAAACAAGAGAAACTCTCATAGGAGGGTAACCCTGAATTGTTATTTTGGACCAGAATGAGTTGGMCATTACAGGTAAAACTTACTTGGTACTGGCTTGCTTTGTACAGTTGAGTATTTGCACTTTCAACGTTAGTGTGGACTCTATCGATGTTTCCTTCAATTGAATCTGACAATAAACTTAGAGTTTAGGAATGGTTTTTTTTCAGCTGATTTTATGGAATATCTAGGATAAATATTAATTTTGATTCAGTTTTCTTACCAATCATTTCTCCCTGTTCATGAACCATTGATGCCAAATCACGGAAGATTTCGTTAATGTCTAATATATCTGCCTGTTAAAAAATTATCAATTTTAGAAGATGTCAATTTCATTTTTTATACAGGATAAACTCTCCATCATCCAACAATGCAGACCCCTTTTAGAGGTGATTTTCAGAATTTCAGGCAAGGACCCCTGACCCCTTTATAATAAAGTCTCCCCACCTTGGGAATTACCTTCCTTTTCAATATACCTTAAGTTGCACCAGCAGTAGCATTATAATTTGTTTGTAGACTTGGCATACACAGACTAACCTCAATCTGGCGTATTCTATCTTCTCTTTCRTAAACAATGGCTTCGTCAACAGCTATTTGCTCTGAGAGTTGTTCTTGCTCATTTCTTAACCAAAATTTTTTGGCATTAATATAACATTTAACTTGAACTTAGCAAGTTAAGGCTCAATTGATGAATTTATTCATTTCTGAGAGTACCTTCTACGGTCGTCCTCTATCAGCTGTGTTTGATCAGAACCAAAATCACCATGATGACTTTGGTCTTGCTTTGAGCTCTTTAAGAAAGTTTCAAGAAAATATGATACTTAAAACAAACAGAAAACAGACACTGGTTTGTTTGGAAAACACAATGACTTGACCAAAACTGTTATCCAATGAGTTTGTAAGCTTTCTTGTGATTGGAAGAATAAAACGATGCACATTGTTTCCTCGTTCTTAAATCCTATTGTTTTCTTGTAGTTAGCAAAAGCTAGTAAACCAATCGGATAAGATCTTAACTATGAAGAGCTACCCGACCAAAAGAATTATACTTACAAGATTGACCAAAAGTTTTTCTTGATCAGCAATTTTCTAAATAATACAAAAAAAAACCTTCAGCAGCAACATCAAAGAAATCACATCTAAATAACATCAATACAGCCATATTTTGAGCATTAAAGAGCCCCTATTAGTATGTACTGTAAATTCTTTGTCTAGTTTGTCTAGATCTCACAAGGTTCAAGTTTGACTTACATTTTGTACGGAGTAATATCTTGAAACAGCTTCTCTGAAATCGTCTTTTAGACGTTCATGTTGGATTCTATTTTGCCGCTAAAACCATAAAATCCATTGGTTTGAAAATAATAAATCATAACTGTAAAAGATTAATTAGAATTTGCTTTCAAACTTACTGCAGGACCACATAAAGAAGTCATATTCTTCAAAATATGTGTTGTTGTACTTGCAAGTTTGTTTGTGCCTTGTTGAATGCGATGTCTGAAAATCATTTTTATTTTTGATTAATGCTATCAATGGAAAGTGTGATTACTAATGACGATAATACTATGCGCAGAAACATTTCTATTTAACACACAATAATACACTGTCTTCTATGCCTCAAAGATGACACTTGCATGAATTGTGGCAGTGTCACTAAAGTCAATGATTATTAAAATCCAACAATATGTTTTATGGGATTTTTTTTTTTTGAGGTGCTCAGCCTCCCCCCACTTCTGCCACCCTTGATGTTAGTATTTGTTTGTGGAATCAACCTAGAGACAATTCAATAGCCTTTACTCCAAAGACTAGTTCTCACATTTTTTCTTGTGGTACGCGTTCTTTGCCAGATGATATCTGCTTTAGGATTCTTTCAAGTGCAGCAGCTATAGATGATAAACAAGCATAAACTTCAGTTTTCAAAATGTTTCTACATAGATTCAACACAGAAAAGTGAGTGCAATTCTTACTATTGCTGTTGATTTGAAAGATGTTGCTGCTGACAGAATCACTCATCTGTTGAAATTCTTCTTGGTGATCTACATGCAAGCCTTGCAAATAATTATTCATTAGTATGGTGCATGGCTTTTTTTTCTTTTCTTTCTTTTCTTTTTTTTTCCTTTTTTTTTCCTTTTGCAGTATATTCATAATGTACAAAATGGAGAGAATGCAAGAACTAAAGAAGAAAGAAAGAAAAATGTGAAAGATGGAAAGAACAAAATGAGAAAAATAAAAGTGAGAGAAAAAAAAGGAAAGAAGTTGAAGTATGAAAAAACAAAAAGAAAGTGAACAGCGGCTATCTGGATGAAATAGAGTATTACGAGAACAAAGGGCAACAAAACAGTAGGAGACAAATAAAAGATTTATCATCCTTATACGTCACCTCTCACTCAAACAAATAGGCTAGGGAACCTATCAATTATGTTATAAGAGTATGAGGCCATACCTTGTCTATGAAAGCCTGCACTCTGACCAACRGCACCATATGATGGGCCAGTGTGAGTGCCAAACTCTCCACGCTCCATTTCTAAAGAAAACAATCCTTGTTATACATGTATATGGAAAAATAGAATCAACTTTGTCAATTATTAACAAAGTATCATTCAGTAATTATTTTTCAGGTTATCTGTATGAATATTGAATATTAATTATGATTATTATGTAATATATTTTATACATGCAATAATGTTTCTGATCTCTGTACTGAAGGCCAAAGGCTGGATGTCCAAGGCTAATACACTGGTCGAGACCTTGATTATTCAGATATCACAAAAAGAAATAATTGCTTTTATAATAATAATACTATACATTTTGCAAAGATAATTTTACTGTTGATTTCACATGAATATATCAGAATTTAATTAATCACTCAAGTGCAGCCAGCCTACAGATATCGAAAATAATTGACAAATAGATTATTCAATAACCTGTAGCTTGCAGTGATTGTGAAAATAAACTGTAGCTAGTCGGCCAATCAGATTCTGCATTGTCAACGCTCACTAGAACATGTGAATGTGAATACAAAAATAATCTATATGCATCTCGTGATACGTACAAAAAACAAACTAAAAAATAATCAAAATAGATTCGTTTAGACACTTGGCAATCAGCTAGCAACGCATGTACATTTTTTAAAGATTTGACTGTGAAAAAACCTGAAAGTTTTCATAACATTACAAGTTATCCTTAATAAGTTAATATGCATGGAAAACTAAAACCTAGGTCATTTTGTTTGACTGTGACGTTTTTACCTTGATGTCAGGTGACGTGCGGATGTCTCTTGCAAATATAAAAGGAGATCTCCTAAATAGGGCGCAGTTAAGTCTTACACTTGCATGGAGCTCAATTGCAATAAAAACATAGATTTTCTGATGTAAAAAGACTTTTCAGTGAGGTGGGTACATCGGTCAGGAAATGTTTCAGACTGTACAGTAGACGTGAGGAACTGGAACTAGCTTACTTTCCCGAACCGGAAACCGAAAGCGAACGCAGTCGAGGCTAAGCATTTTGAAAGAGTTTGAAAAAAGAATGAATGGCGTTAAAATGAGAATAAAATGTATAAATAAGAGTGAACGTAAAGACTGATTCTTTTACATACATTTGTATAAATTTTCCGTGCGAATTTTTTTTCTCTAAAACCAAATAAACTCGCCCCAGTATCCTCTCGGCAACGCCGATCCGCCATTTTGTTATTGGTACATGTTTTGCTTTGATAACATTTTGATCGTTTGAGTTGGGCTACCCCATGAAATAGTCGGAAAAAATCTATAGATTAATTATAAAGAAAGGCATTGATTATTATAGATAGGAGTTTTTGGACGAAATGGCCAGTAGCCTTGCAGTAGCGGACCCTAGTGTCGAACATTCCGGCGACGAGAGTGAAGATGACGATGATGTTGTGGAGCAGAGCCCATGTGGACGCTGGGAAAAGCGCCGACAAGAGGTAATAAAGTACTTACTATATTGTATAGCTTTATTTATGATGTTGTAAACTACCAAAAACAATGATATCCAGTACAGTAGCTGAAAAATTATTAATATTTGAAATTAAAAAAAAATCTTTGTTTCCTGCCATTGCAAGCTTTAAAGCTTAACCCTGTTGTTTTGAAATGAAATTCCTTCTTCATTATTGACCATAAAGGTCTTTGTAATATCTAGATGCWGCTGCTAAAGTTAAAGCTTAAATTGTTCTCTGTTGCTACTGTTGTCTTGCCTGGATTCTTTGTCAAAAGGCTTGTTTCCATGAGGATCCCAGCCCTTTTGTGTAACTAAAATCAAAATTAAGCTTATTAAACCTCAAGTATGAGTGAAACCAGTTTTATTGAGTGCTTGCATGATTGCACACTGATTATCGCAGTGTGATATGCATTCTAAATGACTGGACCAGAAAAAAGGTCGCATGAAATCAATGGCCTCTGCAATGCATGTGCATTTGCTTTACTGACAAAGATGGCAAGCAAGTCATGTTGACAACACACACCATTATTGTTTTGGCTCGCAGGGCTTCTTCATAAAAATATTCTTGATGTTGTAAAACATGAACTTCTATTTAAGGTTATGCAGCGCGATGTCCCAGGAATTGACCACGCCTATCTTGCCATGGAYACAGAAGAAGGCGTTGAAGTTGTCTGGAATGAAGTTCAGTTTTCTGAAAGAAAGGATTTCAAAAGTCAAGAGGTAAGAATGGAAAAAAAATATGTCAGGTTGAAAGCACTTTCTCCTCCCTTTTCTGGTATATCTACAGTTCCAAATCATGGTCAATCATGGTCATGTAAGTAGTAAATTATCAATGGATAGAATACTAATCATTTTTCTCAAGCTGAAGGCACTTTCTACATTTGGATATTATCAGTATTCTTTTAAGGTCTCTCTCTTTTGCAATTATTTGCAAGTGACTTGTATAAAAAAAGCATGGTACACTAAAATTTGCAAACTGTGGCAGTAAGGTTTACAGTAACCTTATAGCAGGTAATGATTATTAAAAAATATCACAAAAATTGTCCTATTTTACATGCCATATCTATTTGAAAGAACGTTATCTAGATCAAATGCATTCAACCTGGACTTGCTGTCAGACACGCAATAAACTCACATTTGACTGTGCTTTCTTGTGTCCGTGTTGTGTTTTCATTCATGTAATCCACAATAGACAATGTTGTTGTGAAATATTGAGAGAAAATTATTGAAAATTATTACCTCTTTAGTACAGTACTTAGTGCACTGTATTTAACTTTTTTCCACTACAATTTATCACAATAAATTATAGAAATGTATACAGGTCTACTTTAATTTCAATGAACAATTCATGATTATCCATGTTTTTATCTGCCTTCTAAAAATAATGCAAATAATGTTATTTTCAAAGTGGTTGAGTTGATAAAAGWCCTATTAAATGATGTAAAATTTGTTTAACTGAATGCAGATTAAAACTACAAAAACCTGTCTAAAATTGGATACCAATACTTAGTGTCAAAGTACATGTAATGATGCTGAAAAAAAAAATCATTGATGTCTTCCTATCTCTGCAGTTGATTTTCTGAAATGTGCTATGGATAATGATAATTATTATTATAATTRTTGTGTAACTATTGTCCTAATTGTTAGCGTGGTTTCTTTGTCAATGTGTTTGTCTATCATACTGGTATCTGATCCATAGATTTGTCTTCATCAATTTTATTCTTCTTTACAAATAAAATTTATTGTGTATTTGTCTTTTCTCTATGATACATCCATCTGTCTTATTGTCCTTGTCCAAATTGTCTGTCTGTCTTGACTGTCCGTTTCCCAGTCCAAACTGTCTGTCCATCTTTCCAAATTGCCTCTCTTGACTGTTTGTTTCCCAGTCCAAACTGTCTGTCCATCTTTCCAAATTACCTCTCTTGATTGTTTGTTTCCCAGTACAAGTTGTCTGTTTGTCTTGTTACTGTGATATTTATACTAAAATACTAAGAATCCACTGCATGTTAATATACATTAACAATGTAATCCTTTAACAAATTGATAAAATAATGATAATGGGTAAAAGGTTATAACTCTATCCTGTTTATAGAATGAAATTGGTGTTGGTTGGATGGTACATGGCAGTGATGAGGTGAGATATCCTCTACTCACACCAACACCTTGCTGTCTCTTCTGCACCATTTCTTGTCCATTGAAATCAGTTTGTTTTATCTTGTCTTATGCACTCCTTGAAGCTTTCCATATTCTTGTCTTTGTCCACCATTATTTGCAGCCATCAAAGTTTTATCACCATTTAAAAATTTTGATAAAAAGCTATTCATTTTGACCTTRAATAATTAATGCATGAAACACATCTTAATACTTCAAAACTTTAGAAGCACAGCGCATGGTAATTGTAAAGCATGGTAACTTGAACATACGATAATTATTTCATCATAGTAGAGGCTTCAGAATTGTAGTTAAAATTCTTTATGCTCTGGACATTTCATTTAAGAAAAATAAAACAGCATCCTCTGATCCCACCATGTTTAGATCAGAGGACAGAGATGTAAGCGGCCATGTTATAGTTCTTTTATAAAATTTTGTCCGTAAGCCATGTCTCTGTCCTCTGATATAATCATAGTCGTCACCCAATGAGAATACACAAATTATATCAAAAATTTTATAATCTCTGATAAAAACTGTAATGATCAATGATAAATACCAAATGTTACAATGTCCAGCTTGCATGCTTCTAAATTGTACTTTCATATCCAGTATTTCTAATATGAACTACATGTAACCCTAATTTGATAATCAAGCAATGCATGAGAAATAAGAAAAATGTCTTGTGTTCTTGACAGGTATTAGTAATACCAAACTGGTCTGTTCCAGTCCTGTCAACAGCACGTAATTTTTCTCTTACTTGTTTCTTATTTTCTTGTTTAGTTATTATTTGGTTTGAATTTTTTTCCTTTTGTTTTGTTACTTGATGATGTACTATGATGTTTTGTTTTGTTTCTTGAAGTGTTTTCTTTTCTGGGTTTTGTTCTCAGTGTTTTGTTTTGTTGTTTTCTTTTTTTTTGTTAGACAACTGATTTATGGTCATTATATATAACAATCTAGTATTAAACCTTCAAATACTTGTTATAAAAAAATATAAAATAAAAAAATAACTTGTTAGTCCAATAATACCACTGACCATTCAAAAAGCAATGTACACATTTTACACTTTCAGTTCATTGTACTACATTATTTATCAACTAATTTTTTTATAGCAAGCATCATGTTTCGTTGTGCAAGAYTTATTTCTTTTTTACATGATCATCATCTTTAATTTTAGTGTCCATATTCCAACATTTTCCAATCATGCTGAGTCAGACTTTCATATATAATTTTTTTTGTTCAAATTTAGAAAAKTTTTGTGCATTTACTTTTTGTTTCTATACATAAATGCAATGATCATGATTCTTTTATATGTCCATTCTTGTAATTCATTTAATATAGCTTGACTTGAATTGTTTTTTTTTCCTTTAGTATCATTGCTTTTTTTTAATGCTAAGCTTAATTTAATTCTCTACTCTAGGAAACTATCAAGAAGGTTTTTGAAAATTTGATTCAACTTGATGTAAGTGGTTAGATGTGTATCAAAATGTGTTTTTTCAATCTGTCTTTTTCTTGTTTCTTCTGTTTTCATTCTTTTCTCCTTTATTTCTTTCTCGTCTTTCTTTCTTTGCTCTGTTTCTCTTTCATTCTTTCTCTTTCATTTGTTCTTTGTACTTATTATGACATACCTTTCAGAATTTAACCACGATGGTTTGACTTTCTTTAGCATCCAAACATTGTAAAGTTTCACATGTTTTGGACTGATGTCCAAACAGACAAAGCACGCGTGATCTTTATTACTGAATACATGACGTCAGGTTCWTTAAAGCAATTCCTCAAGAGAACACGCAAGAGTGACAAGACATTGAATGTCAAGGTTAGTAACTGATAGTTAGATAACAAGGTGTTTTAATAATTAAAATATATTAATATTTGCTTCTGTATATATAGGTCTGGAAAAGATGGTGTAGACAAATCCTGTCAGCACTAAGGTAGAGTAGGCAAGCATGCATTGATATGGTAGTTCTGTTTTTTTATAGGATGACTACATAATACAGTGTCCATAGAAATATCAGTCATATTATATATGTAATAGATCATTATGTAATGTATAAAGGTCGGACTCAAATATTTTATGTTGCTTATCAAATTCCAACATAAGGTAAAGCATATTTTGAAAAAAAACTTCAGGATAAAATATCATTTGTAAGAGAAAATCGAAGTTAAGTCATATGCAAATCAGAACAAATCTCTTGCTCATATAAAGATGCGGTCACAGCAATGACTTTCCATTGTGTTTACCTTATGAATTATTAATGAATTTGGTAAGAGTATTAATAAGTAAACTTGCAGACAAAGATTTGGATTATATCTTCAATCTTAGATATTTTGGCTACTATCTGTAGCCATCATCAGTAGACGTGTGTGATTAAGAGATTAAAGATGATGAAAATACCTCTCGTTTACTCCTTTATTATGAGGATTAATATTGAGTAATATTGTTGTAATATTTATTAGTTATCTTCATGGRTGTGATATTCCTATTGTACATGGTAACCTGTCATGTGACACGATATTTATTCAACATAATGGATTAATCAAGATTGGATCAGGTACTATAAATTTTAACTTAACAAATCCCGTAATAATAGACAAATGCTGTACAAATCAATAATCAAAAGTAGCATTTATTAGTTTGCAAAGTAGTTAGTATGTAGTAGTAGTTTTATGCAAAARGCCTACTAGATTTGATGCACACATAGAAGAATTGACTTGTAAGCTAGGACTTATTATCCATATATAGACAACAGATTATGATTATAGCAATAATATTCTAATTTTGAGCCAATAATATTTGTAGTTGCTCCAGATACCATCCATAATCATGTAAAGACTTGCCGAGAGGAAAAAAGAAACATGCACTTCATTGCGCCTGAATATGGTAACCACGACAACCTGTACTAATGAAGAGTTTATTCTGTTTGTCATCATCATTGTCATAGTAATCATAATTGTCATCAGCATCATTGTAGATGTCAATCATCAGTGTACTTTTCCAGAATGTTTTTAAATTCCATGTTTTCTCTCCAGCGCTACTGTTTTGTGTTTTCCTTTCAACATTTTSAACCCAACGGTGACCTTYTTTAGTGATTGGCACATATAATCAGCCACTAGATTAGATAGGAGAATGATAATGTTTTTTTATTGAATTATCCAGGAATTCCTGGTCATATTGTAGACTGTGCTGTGGACGTTTATGCCTTTGGAATGTGTGCCTTAGAGGTGAAAAGTTGGATGATATCATGTTGTTAATTAAAAAATTATCACTATTATAGATTAGTTGTCTTGCCAATCTGTGTTTAATATGTAATTTGAACAATGCACAGTAACTGGAAATCGTGGGAAGTCTGTCCAGGCTTCAACTTAATCACATTTCCAAAGTAACCGAATAACATTTCCAGTTTATTCTAAGTGTTAGTCCACTTAGTTTAAGATTCAGTGTTAAAAAAAGTGTTTTCATAAGCAGGCACCATGARCCATGAACTCTCTTCCTCCTTGTGTATGAAAAAGGTTGTTTTGTTTTTATCAGATGGCTGCACTAGAGCTTCATTTTATTGAGGGACCAGTATCAAAGAATGAGATTGAGAAAGCCATACAAGGGTTGGATTCATCATTACAAAGGGTAATAWCTTTAAATCTAAATTTGTGCATTTGTTTATCATTTCATGCACCTGTTATGTTGTATAGTACTCACATTTTAGTTGAATTAAACATCTTTAATAATTAATTATTTAGGATTTCATTAAGAGATGTTTAGCTGAAGATCCTACYAAAAGACCTAACGTACAAGACCTTTTGTTAGACCCTTGTTTGTTTGAGGTTAGTGCAAAGAAGTTGATAAAAACCCAAAAACAACAAACAAATAATGTGGTAGAGTGGATTTCGTATGAGTGGGAAACGGACGGTACTGTACTGTGTCCGTAATCGTACTGTAACCAAATTCTAGTGCCCCATTGTTTCACCAAAATTCTGCAGGCCAGGTCCGGTAACTGTGCGGTAACCGTGCAGTAACGGTGTCCCACTCATACGAAATCCGCTCTATTACAACAGCAACAACAACAGCAACAACAACAACAACAGCAACAACAACAACACTCACTACAATCAAAACAACAACAAATTTATTTATTTTAAGTGAATGATGTACAGAAAATATATTTAGAAAAAAACAGTACTTGTCCTAATAAATATCAAAGGAACTAAATGATAGATGTAGAACAGGAAGCAGTTTTACAAATTTGGTGTTTCTAGTATGATGGTGCATAATTATCAAGCTTTGATAAATAAATATCCCCAAACAAAACCCAGTTTGGAAGGAAGACATGTAGAACAATGATAACATTAATATAGGTGATAATATTTCTTAACAGTTTATATTTTATATGGTATAAATTTGCAAACAAATCAAGTGCCATCTGACAAACTCACTGCAACTGGTTTCTTTACTAGCTAGAAACTATTGAACGTCTAATAAAATATATTAAATCTTATTCATTTCCAGGTTCATTCTCTCAAGCTTCTTGCTGGACATTGCATGGTAGATCATGATGGTATGCCTGGAAGAAAATATTTCTGTTTACCACGTAATTTAACATTTAAGTAACATGTATTTCTGCTAACCTTTTCAGTTTCCATGCCTGATAATGGAGAAAAAGCGGACCCAGAAAAAGTTATTGCTGTATATAAAGCTGCTGATGGCACTGAAAAAGTCATAAAGTAAGAACAAGTACATTCGGATTGCGATGCTATTATCTGATTCTTTTATTGATTGGTTGGTTGGTCGATTAATTAATTGATTTACTGAATAGAAATGAGAAAGGACCTGTTCATATAGAGTTAGATAAGTTCCTAGAAGAAGTTAGGTAAGTTATTTTACTTCTTCACAAGCATCTAATCACCATATCATACATACAACTGGGGACAAAAGTGTTGACCCAAAATGCTCTCCCCCACCCCACCCCAAGTGGACTTACATGTGGTAAAATGCAGTAATGTATTAGGTGTATTCAGGAAATTCTCTTTACCTTTTAACAGAAATGGTCTATATCCCTTAACTGGAATTGAAAAAAAGAAAAAACTTACTCCCAGACAAAGGTAATTTTATTGTAGTTTTATATATGCATATATTTTCCCAGAGCCAATCACTGTCAAACTAGCGTAGTTTTTTATTTGTATGATAGTTGTGGACAATATTTTTCTTGATTTATTATGTTTAACACACTCATCTAATCTCTTAAGACCAAAGTCACCTGATCGTGTTCAAACAGTACAAAAAAGTAAACACGACACAGAATCTTATGATGAAGAAAGTAGAAGGGTACGTAGTCATGTCTTCTGCATAAACAGCATCATTACTTTGTGTGAAAACTATATAGTGATTTAAATATTAAAGTTAGCCTTTTCCTTCTTAGTTTACTGGTTTGACTTGTGAGGCTCGACCTCTTGAATCTGGTGATGGTAAAATGGTAAGAATTGTTTGATATCTCTCTTGAACTACAACAAACAAGTCCTTGGTTTGTAATAACAACTGTAGTGACACATTCCTTCAAATAATATATATTTTGTTGTTTTTAGCTTTCCCTACTTATCAAATTTGAAGAAAGAATGAATAGACAACTTTCATGTGAAGTCAAACAAGGTAAAAAATGTGAAAAAAGTATAAAATAATGATAGCAGATTGCAGAAGCTGTCACAAAGCAAAACAAAAAACAAAAAAACAAATTGAATTACTTGTATTGGACTATTAATTCTTGAAAGTTTCAGAATAACTAAAACTCCATGGCCTAGTTATATTTGCAGTGGAACCCCGCCTAACGGCTACCCACTTGATACGGATACCCCCCTGATACAGCCAGTTTTTATGCTGGCTCCACCCTCTTTGTACAGCCACTTTCAATATCCCATTGGTGACCACATTAATGGGTTTCCACAGTGCAAACATCTCAAATATGCGCGCACAAAATCAGTGTGCAGAGAGCAATTTTAACAGAACTTTCATTAMCAACTCATGTTTGATACATACAGTCAACTCTCGCTATTACGGGACCGTTATTTAGTGTCCAAAGTAGCGAGAGTCCGTAATAACGGGAGTTACTTTCAGTCACTTATTTGTATTTTTCGCCGGGGATTCAGTATTTTACTGTCCGCGATATCGAGTTGTCCGTTGTAGCGGGGTGTCGGTAAGGCGAGAGTTRACTGTATTTTCCCCAACCAAGACTTACCCCTCTTTTTATTTTCCTGCATATACATTATGTAGATGTRTGGATATGAATATTTGTATTAGTTCTTATTGTTTTTTTTTAATATTCTTTTTGTAATCTAACAGGTGAAAAAGGTAGTGATCTTGCTGATGAATTAGTAAAATTCGGATTTATAAATAAGGTCAGTCAATGCAAATTTTTAGAATATTGTACAATTTGAATTATTTTGAATTATTTCTACTTTCGCATTTAGAATTAAGTTTCTCATAGGCATGCCTGCTATAGCTGCATTCAAACTTGTTTTTGCCACCAGTCTTTTATCATAGTTCTTCTTGCTGAAGGCAGTTAGTGAAGTTTGACTACTTGTATTAAATGACATTTTGTGATAATGTTTCTTTACAGAAAGACCACGAGGCCATTGCAATTGAGATAACAAAGAAGCTTTATCCTTCCTGAGGTAAGATACTGTTATTACACCCACCCCAACCCCTTCATCCTATCGCCCACTCTACTCTATTGTACTRCCTTTCCAACCCACTCTTTTATAGGCAAATAATATTTATTGCTACAGTTTAAGCRGGTGGTGGTGTGGAATTCTTTCTAGTTTTTTTACTGAGCACAATTGGATAATTATTATATTTTTCTTTGTTTCAGAAAATATTGCAGCACCGAATCACAGAGCAATAATATTGTCRCTCAAAATCGTAGCCATCGCTTATTTATAGTTCGGGCTAGAACTTGAAATTTCATATCAAAACCCAATTTTTTTGAGCGAACAAAATCCAAATGTTCTAAATAACACACTTGAATAGCAAGTTGTGTGATTTTTTAGCCCGCGTAGTCAGGTGTTTCTAGGTGTTTCTGTGGAGTTTAGTTCTCTGACCCAGACTTTCTCGGGACGGCTAGRAATGTGTGGGTACTCAGGCTATGGAAGTTTGTCAAGTTACAAGTTATTTCTAAATTATGTGTACATAKACATAGTAAAATTTATATATATATTTTGTTACAAGTTGAATTTGGTACTAATTTATACATAGAATACATAGAGAGGGCATTAAACCTGTGAAAACTTTGACAATTAACCTAACCCGTGAGGTCATATGGAGGACTACGGGTTGATRGTCCATGAGAACATACTTGGATTCAAGAGAGAATTCTTTTCTCCCACCACCCCCTCACATTCCCTCAAATTCAACTGTAGTTCATAGTTAATCAGAGATAAAGTCAATTCGTAGCTTGTGTTTCACTATCGGTTTAACGTCCTTACTATAGGTTGGTGTAATTAATGTCAAATGAACAATGATTACATCGAGATTTTTTTCTTATTTCACTTCCACTGTTAAGAATTAATCGAAAAGGAGCATCAGCATTAAAAGCACTAATACAATTCTAGAGAAATAAAATATATACGGTTGAATTCAAAATTATATCAGTRAAATAAAATGATGGTTTTAAATAAAAGCAGCATTATGATTTAGTAATGAAAAATGTCAAAGACTGTTAACGTTGGTTTACAGGGGTGAAAAAGGAGGTTTTTTTTTCAATTTTTCCTGCGCTTTATTCAAATTGATGAGCTCGAAACATACTCGTCCTTGGGATTGTTGTTGGTATGTTTTTGCATTGTAACTCAAGCGTAATGAAACGCTGCTGAATCGTTTTCGACTAGTATCAA